CCTGCATCTTATATATTAATAATAAGTTTAAGAGCTACTACTACTCTCCGATAGTTCAGCTTCATCCTTGATTTGCTTAACAAATTTCTTAACTTTTTTAATACGGTTAAGTCCTTTCTTGGATTTTCTAAATATTTCAATCGCTCTAAGTTTCGATTTTAAAGCATTAGCTTTATCTTGCTCTTTTTGCGGAATGATGTCTGTGCTTGCATTCATCAATTTTTTTAGCTGAATTTTATTATTACCTTGACTAGGTTGTTCATCTACCTCTTGAGATATTTCAACCGTTTTCTCATCTTCGTTAATTTCCGCGATCGGCAATAATTCCTTAGTGCCCTCTTTAAATTTCCTTCCTTTCCCAACTGATGATTTTGTTGTTCTTTTAACTTTTTCTATTTCGTCGGTAGTGTGGATATTTTGACTTTTGTTACCCAGCTGTTGTACAGCTAACTGAATTCTTTTACTTAAAGTTGTTTCTATGGATTTTGGAACAGACTGGACCTTAAAGTATGACTCTATTCCTCTTTGACTTTTGTTCTCCGCTACTTTTTTCATAACCGGTGTTATAATTTCTTCGAATTTAAGTTTCGTCCAACCAAACTTTTTTTTTGCATAATCTGCTAAAAGAATCAAGTTGGGCTTCCCCCACGTAAAGGATTCTTTTGATTCATCCACTAATGGGCAAACATATGCTTGAACGATAGCCTGATTAGGAAAGCCTTAAACAGTTTTTATTTGTATTGTATAATAAAAAAAAAAAAAAAATTGTACATTTGAAATGTAAGCATTTATATGCAACTAACTCTTATACCTCTTTCGATATGAACATTTTTCAATTTATTCCTTAATGTTGCCTTTCCAGGGGCGCTTAATTTTCCTGCTCTGTACCATGACGAAAAAGCTCGCAAACCTCGTAAAATATCCTTTTCGTCGGAAGGAAATGCCGCTAAGATTTCTAAAGCTGTAACAGGACCAACGCCTGACAAACCACTTGTATAATCACTACCGACTAAAAGAGCCAATAGAATCAATTCGTTTCTTGAAAGTTCTGTAATGAAATATAAGTGATTCATCAAAGAAATTTATATACATGATTATTAGAATGTTAAAATGTAAATTTTGAAAAATCAATACTAACTAAAATGATGATTAATATCACTCGATAGGAATTGTAAAACTTTTTTATTGTTATCAAAAAAATTTTTATAAACGCACTCTCCTCCAAAAAGCCAAATGTCAGAATCATCTGTTATGGTTCCATCGGTTAATTTTATTTGTTCTAAATAAGCGCATTGTGCTTCAGCTTCCATAGGAGCTACGATATAAGGAATTCCAAATAATTGTAATAATTCTTGAGCTTCAATTTTCATTTGATCATTAACATCCGTTGCTTGTCTCTCTAGTTTACCCAAGCTTTCAGATATTTGCTGTTGATCCAATTCTAAACGTTTCTAAAATAAATCATTATCTCACAAATTACACATTATATAAAATTACTTAGATTATTCATAATTTCAATACCTTCATCGATTCGAGCTCTTTTTCTTCTAGAGGAAAAATCGAAGTTGACACTTTTGGAACGGCAATGGTTTCGTAATTATGTTCCTTTTGTAATTCCTCGTCCTTCAATCGTTCACTAGAATCCGTTATTAAAGAAGTTTCCGATTTTTCTACAATTGAATCTTTATGTATATCGTCATCTTTAATTTTGATGTTTGTCTCCATTACTGCCACATCTGGGCTTGCCTTTTTAAGAATAACTGCTTCTTTCGAATTTTTTAAATTTGAAGATATATCGTCGACATTTTTTATTTCGATATTTGTATTAATATTTACGGGGGTCGATAAGGAGGTTCTCTCTCTTTCAAAATTACATTCCGTTATATTCAATTCTTCATCTGGAATGGAGTTTTCTCCTTCCGTTATCTTTGCAAAAACGTTATCTTTAAAGATATCTTTCTCTTGATTATCAACCAATTTTAATTTACTTTTATCAACTATGTCCGCCTTAATATCAATATCATTAAATACGTCGGCCTTATTATCAATATCACTAAATACGTCGGCCTTATTATGAATATCACTAAATACATCGGCAAACATATCATCCTGCAATTCTTCATCAGCTTTAATTGTTATTTGAATACTATTGCTTTTTAATTTCGTAGAATCCATCGATTCTGGAATGGGCACATCTTGAATTTCAATAAAATCATTACTTTCAGAATCAGACGATTCCATAATAATTGTCTTATTAGAATCATGCGTTCTTATTTGCTGAGTTTTAGTATTAAATTGTTCGGATATTTCGATAAAATCGTTAGATTCCGAATCCGATGATTCCATTGTTATTATTTTATTTGAATCAATGCTCTTAATTTCTTGACTTTCACTGTTAAATTTTTGTGAATCTTCCACATCTAACACATCAGATTCTGTCGCAGACTCCAAACTATTTGGAATTTCGGCTTTTCTCTTTGACGAATCAAATAATATTTTCCTTTTGCATTTATTTCGTAAGTATCGACTGTTCCATTTCTTCCCTCTTTTACTGGAACCTTGAGAACTATTGTCATCGGATCGCTTCTTATTTTTCTTACTCTGTTCGACTATTGTCATTATTTGATCACGTGTTAAGCCACTATTTTCCAACATGTAGGATAAAGCAGGATTTATAATCGTTTTAGGAATAGCATTTTTTGTCAATAGCTTAGAATCATTTAACGTGGTCTCGGCGAAGGATTCATCGGAATACCAATCTTCATCAAAATCATACGCATTCATATTGTCAATTACAGCGACTGAACTATCGGATTTAATTGACACAGAGTCTATACATTTATCATTCGAATGAGAATCTTGTTCTGATAGTTCATTTAAATTCAAGTTACTCAAATCATTAGAATTTTCATTATTTTGTATGGGAGGCTTATCTAAATACAAACGAATGGCTCTTATGAAAAGTTTTCAATATTTCAATTCCATTATGTTTGTCATCTGATGATTTACCTTTCATGTAAATTACTCGAGTCTTACTGTCAGAAGCAATGCGAAACATCTCGTCATTCTGCGTTGTCTGAATTCCTTGATCTGTTAAAAGTTTATCTAACTCTTCTAAAGTAAGAGTCTTACCTCCCATTTCTTTCTCAGCAAACTCAAGAGATTCTTGAACATATCTGCGTTTTAATAAACGTTTCACTTGAAATCCAGAATAATTATTGGAGCCCTAAAAAATTAAATTATAAATTATTTTATTATTGTTAGTTGGTGTCGCTGTTATATTGCTCTGTCGCTGTCGTATTGTTATAATACCTAATAGTGGCGATAGTATTATTATTCATTAAATTTATAAACTATAAATTTATCTAGATGAAGTCTACTTAAACCAGAAAATTAATTAAAAAAATATAAATAAAAAAGAAAGTAAAGATTTGTTGTTATTGCATAAAGTGTGAATTATGCGATGAATATTTGCTTAATAGAAGGATTAATTTTAGAAAAATTAATTTTAAATAAAATTTAGTCCATACCGCTGGTAATTCATGTATACGTCCCCAAGAATTTTGTTTCCTTGTCTCTTTTAAATCTGTTAAAATATCATATCTGACATCTGCTGGTAAATTTTTAAATTCTTCCGTATTTACATTGACATTATGAATATTCCCTATCCACCTTGCTTGCTTACGAGGACTGAGCTCTAATTCAGATTCCTCATCCGAATCTTGATAATCGTCTGAATTTACCGATTTACCGTCATTAACAATATCAGGCAATTTGTACATATCGTCAAATTTAGACGAATCTGCAATGACTGTAGAATCTGTGAATCGTGGCTTTGCATTATTTTCGCTATCCTCGTTTCCTTTATCCAGTGTCCCCTTTACCACTGCATATTTCATCAAGTTGCTTATCAAATCGTTTTTCAACTTTTGTGCTTTACAAGTTGCGATAGATTTTAACTTCCTGCGTAAAGCCTGTGGAGACAAAAGAATAAGAGGACTCCATTCTCACTACCCGATTCCCACACTGACTTAATTATACCTCAAAGATATTAGATTCTAGATGGAATAATGCTATTCTGCAAAAACACTCTTCCCTTAAGTTTTTTATGTTACTTTAAAAAGTAGTTTATGCTCATGTATTTTTAAATTACTAATAAGAAGCTCTATTTTATTTAATATAAAAAATACGTGGGAAAATTTTAATTATAAATGTATATACAAATATACATTATATTAAAATATTTACATAATATTAAAAATATAACGTTCAACAATTGTTACAATATATTATTTATAAAAAGTACAATGATAAGTACATATTCAACACATACTTACCGTGGTTTTCTTTTTTAATAACGGCACACCTCCATCAAATACAAAAACTGGCTTAATTTTAAAATACATCAATTTACAGATCCTATTGAACAATCCAATAAGATGAGCATTGGGTATGGAATTGCCTTGCCGATCCTGATACCCTTGTATGACTTGATGTATCCATATCGAAACATCTACAACAACGACAATTAAATAATTAATAATTGTCGACTGAGCTTTATTGCTCTGTACAATGATGTAACAACATTCGCGATTCACCTATAGCCAAAACTTTTCCCTCCAATTTCTCCAACGGTACAGGCTTTCCCGTTGCATCAATCAGCCTCCACAATCCAATAACTCCCATTGTTCATCGGATCTATTACCTAAAAGTGCACAAAATAACATTAACCTAACAATGCAGCTTTCAAACATACATAGAAAATATCTCCGCGTGAAACACAAGCCGTATTATATAACATAAAATTCAACTATCATCTCCCCTTCGAGACAAAACCATTAAAGCACACATTATCAAAATACGCAATATAATTTAATATCGATTCCAGCCCAATAGCCCTAACCCCCTCGACAATATCATTAAACAATGTATCCCTGCTCGCACAACAAACTCACACAGCAATAACACACCACGGCATCCTAAGAACAATAAAACTACGATTATACTTACCGACGATAAGCATCGAGCAGCTAAGTAAAACGTTTTTCACGTAAAAATCCAATTATCTCGCGGCCGCATCTCCACGGGTCTGTGAACGCGCTCGGAGCGATCAGCTGATGGCAAAAGTCACAGGTCGCGCCACAACTTCGCTGCGGTTTTTCGAGAATGCAAATTCCGTTCCGTTCTATGATTTACGGGGCGGGGTGGGTGTTACGATCGGCGTGAGAGATCTCAGAAATTGCGGACAAATCGCCGACTCGAAGAGCTTAGATCATGGCGTGTACTTTTAAAAATGAGATTCGGTTAGGTTAGGCTGTTGTACATAGCATGAGTAGGGGCTGCGCAGATTGAATATCGACGAGGTGAACAAAATTCGGGCTCGAGTACACGTATTATTATTCGCGTATTAACGTCTGTTGATAAATGCAATGTAAATAAATAATATAAATAAACAAATTGCGTTGTTTATTGGTGAATTGGTGTATATCTATTGCGTGGACGCACGATTATTTGGGTGGAGATGTGTTGGGAGGAAAAAAAAAACAAAAAAAAAATTTACATAAAATTGAAATGCGTTTAGTAAAAGAAGCAGAATTTTGTTATTCGTGTTTATGAATGGTTGATATAAAATCTTTGTTCGATAATCTTATTTATCCCTGTGATTTGACGCTTGAAAATAAAAAAGAAATTGTCATTTAACTGTATTGTTTCAGTATTTATCTATATAGATTATAATTTACTCTTGATGATTGATAAAAATTTGCTTAATGATAATATAATAAAACTCTGTGTACCAATTGATATTTTATGGCTAAAAGTACATATCAAAAGCTGGTTCCATGGTATAATTGCAGCTAAAAATACGCGAAATGCGCCACTGTCCATTGGAACAAATACGTCATACTTGTATGATCGTTCGAATTCAAATTAATATGTTACAATTAAAGACTCTTGCTCAATGGCAATTCAATTCAACGTAATGTCATTTTTTATTCTTTTTTCTCATTCATATTCGTCCTTTTATCATTATCGTCGACGCTATTATGATATCACGAAAGCATCGAAGGAGGTAGATTATCTATTGCGATAGAAGTTCCATTATCAAAGGAACCTAAAACTTAATATCAGAAATTCATTTTCACTCTCAATGCAAACATTTATTAAAATAACAATAAAAAGGAAGCAATTAATTTTATTCAGAAAATAGTTTTCCTACGGTGGCTCATTGAATCCTCGTCTTACGCAATTGGCATAGTTAAATCATTTTATTAGCATTTAATACGTAAAATATAAGATAATGCCAATATAAGATTATAAATAAAATATAAAATCGATTATCAATATATACATATAAATAACAATTAAAGGAGTTTCTAAAATTATTGCTTTATAAAGAAAATAATGTCTATAAATACGACAATGTATCCCAGTATGTAATCATACGTAATTAACAAAATATTCTACGTCTGTAGAATATAAATTTTTATAGGTTTATAAAGACGTAAAATGAAAAATATTGAAAAATAAAATAAATTAAAATGTTTAAATATTCTAAAGATACTTTGGATATAAATTACCGATAACTCGGTATAAATAACGTTTCAATTTCATTAATAAAATCAGGAATCTAATCTGAATAAAATTGTACGAAAGTTCTATTTACTGCGATATATATATATATATATATAATGACTCAATAAATACAATATTAAACATAACTTTATATTTTCGTCCAAAAGACAATTAGTAAGTGGCGAAACATTTAATAATAAATTATAGAACTTGGTAAATACTACGGAAACTAAAAATACTACTTATTTTATTTTATGGGTAACATTGTATAAAATCCATTGTAAAGCTTATATACGTCTGTATAATTATTCTTTAGGAATAATTTACAAGTCATACATCGACCATAATTCTATAGCCTAACTAGCTGCCGACGAGCCGAGTGTAAATCTACTTAAATTAATATCGACATGCCACATTCGTAAGCATAGCAACATATCTCATTGCTTCCGCTTTATCGCAATTACATCTTATCGACTTGGAAGACATTGGCGAATCTATAGATATAAATTACAAATTCACAATGTACTACGATAAAAATCCGGTACTTATGACTTTTAATGCATATTAAATTTCTATACAAAAAAAAAAAATATATATATACGTATATAAATATTACGCATGTTTTATTGATAACCACTTTTGTATATTTTATAATAAGTATTTATGCGGTTTTAGCCAAGTAATGGCAATGAATTTTAGATGAGAATACAGTTTTCATACATTAGAGATTAAACTTTTTTTTTCGGAAAAGTTGTTATAATGTAATTTAAGAACATTTACATACTAAATGAATCATTAAATAAATTATTACATTATTACGGTTAGAGAGAGAGAGAGAGAGAGAGAGAGAGTTTAGTAATAAATTATCATAGCTTGTGCAAAACTTGCAAAGTTTTTACCAAAATATTGAGTAAAAACATACTCAACACAAATATAAAATATAATGTAGAAATTTCTTTTGCTAAACTGTACTTATTTCACTACAATTATAATATTATCTTTATTTCTTTTCTATGGCTAAATTCATAGTCAATATAATTTATGAATTAATAACTTCTAGTTAGCGAGCTATTTTTATTAACACACGTGTCTATAATAATTTAAAAGCGATAAAATTTAATCTTAATAAATTGAATGTCAATAATAATAATAAAATAATAATAATAATAATAATAATAATAATAATAATAATAATTTTACTTGATTTCTCTTTTACAAAAATTTAAGTGACTAAATCGGATTAATTATCCTTTGCAATTTACTCGATTGTCGACTCTTACAATTATAAATATACATACATTAATAAACTAAAGAATTTGTATTTTTAGATATAATAAGCAAATTTATTATTTGGCATAAAAAATTGCACATCAACTAAAATATCACTTCAATAATTTTCTAGGACTGTCTAAGCAAGTCCTAAATAAAATACCGTAACACAGCACCGGAAAATTTACGCAAGGGCTGAGCGCTACAGTGTTCCTCCATTTCCCATTTTCTAGAAAAACTTTACGCAAAGTACCGCGGTAAATATCAAGCTTTTTCTCCTTACAGCGCATACCAACAAATATATAGCCATACGCTCGTACATTTTGGTTCCCACATTTTTCTCGTGTTCGCGCTCTTCGTTCGTATAAGTTTCTTCCGCGCGTCGCTGATCCCGATAATTGAGCAGCTCGTCAGTCTCCATGCAATTGTATATATGTGTGAGACTGCTTGACACACGCACGCATACGCGTACGCGTTAAAATTTAAGTTGAAAAGTAGTGATTGTTTACCGGACTATTTTTTAAATTCCACAGAAAAAACAGTGCTTCTTAAAAATTAACATTGCATAATAGTTGATTGATAATTAAAAGCACGGGAGATGTTTAATTTAATTAAATTAATTGGATAGCATGACACTGCGACGAATAAGATTATAAAATATATATCGCCTTAGAATAAATTAACTACGTAATAAAAATTATGCATTACCCTTTAAGCATATTATGATATAATATGACGTTATCATATGTAAAAATTGTTATTCTCAAGATAAGCTTTAAACGCTTATTTTATTGTTAAACGAAAAATAAGAATCGAATCTTTTGAAGCATATAAGTTTTTTTTTTCTTAATTATGTCTTAGACTTTTATTTTTTTAAACATTAAATATAAGATTTACATTAAAATTACAACTACTTAAGTTTAATTAAAGATAAAAACTAATCTATGTAAGATATTACTAATATTGCTTTAGTTTAGTTTTAAAGTTCAGTATTTAAAAATAATATTAATAAATAATTTTATTTGTCTGGATACAATTGATTAACAATCTTTAAATTGGCGACAATAATAATAAAATTTTAATTAAAACTTAATTTGATATATTAATTTAACTATCTACTACATTATTTAACTATTTACTATTTTATAATGCATTTATGGTACAATTAATAGTTATTATTTTTCTTAAAAATTATTGAATCTCAGATATATAATAATTATAATCATTGCTCGAATAAAATATATAAAAACTGTATGGAATTTATATTAAAAAAATTGAAATGCATGCTAATCTTTATCTAAATTTAATCTCATTCTAATCAATCATCTACAAATTCATTTTTGTATAAATTCAGATTAAAATATTTCAATCTTCTATACTGTGAAACTTCTATCTATTTTCTTAATTTCAAATGAATAGATTACATTTGAATAAATTTGGTTTTATAATTTATATAAATTGCTGACAAAGCTTAAATATTAATCAAAAATATACATTTATAATATTATAAGTAAATACATCTTTTTATATTAAACGTTTATAGATGTTTGTAAATAAAAAATTGTATTTTACTTTTTTTTTTTTGTTATACAATATCAAATTTAGCCGAGACTTAACGAATATTTTTTAATTCTACGCAAAGAATATTAACAGTAATTTACACATAGTTTTTTCATATGCAAAAGAAAAATATTACAAACTTAAATTTACTTCTATTTCTTATTTCTTCTTCTTTTTTTTTCTTTTTTTCTTTTTTACACACGTTTATTTTCAGTAAATTTAATTATATATACATTGTAAATATTATACATATTATTCATTCAATAATTGTCCTATTCACGTTCATTTTTTTATCACT